CAAAGGGTTTAAAATGAAATACTTAAGCAGAAGTGTTAGATATTAGGGATTAGAACTGCTTAAAATTTTACTTAATCGTTTAATTGTTTAACCATTTAACTATTTAATTTGGCCAGCATTAAAATAATTCCAGCCCATGACCAACATAATTCTGCCCAGAACTATGAAGCAATTTTTAAACGATTAAACGGTTCCAATCCCTATTAGATATGTCAATTAGTAGTAAACCTTTAAATGAATTTTTTAAATAGATAATATAGAAAAGTTACATGTATAGCCAATTGTATGCTATTCCAGTAGTGATTCACTAAACCATATTTACTATCATTAAATAAAGTCAAAGACTCAAGAGATTACTTAAAAAAAAAATTTTTTTTATTGTGACATATTTTTAAACTATATTATAAATATTTGTTAAAATTTAATAAAATTATTCTTCAAATTTCAGAGTATAAAAAATTAAATTTTATAAAAAAATTCAAAAAATTCTTAAAAACTATTAGATTTAATTAAAATTTTTAATTTTTAAAAATAATCAAAATATATTTTTTATTTTTAGAATTATGTTCTTATAAATTTTATAATTTTTTAATATGTAAAATTTTAAAATAACAAAATTTTATTTTTTTAAAAAAATTAAAATTTTTAATTAAACCCAATGATCTTAAGAACCTTTTGGATTTTTTTTATAAAAATTTAATCTTTTATGCTTTAGAATTTGAAGAATAACCTTATTAAATTTTAATAAAGATTTATAATACAGCTTAAAAATATATTACAATAAAGAAATATTATTTATTTAAATCATAAAATATCAAAAATAAACTCTAAAAAAATTATCAAATTTTCTAAAACTTTAAAATTATATGCTAATTTATTATAATAAGCAACTTTATTTATTATGCAAAAACTAATTTGTATATAAAAAATGAGTTATATGTAGTTATAATCATTATCAAATTATGTTAAATCATTGTGATTATTGAAATTCCAGTAACCATTGTCAAAAAAGTATATATTAAAAAGCAGTTGCTAAGTAAGTTAATTTTTTACAAGTTAGCAAGCATGTTTTTGAACATTTTATATTTGCATTTTTTTTTAAAAAGGCTAGGTGAGATTATAGCAAGCTAGAATCAGAACAAAATCAAACACTAAAAAAAAAGGCACTGTCTATTCAAATTTTTCATATTTCTCTTTAAATAGCAATTTTTAAATCCATATCTGTTTTGGGTTAGACCTGAGTGATCTTTATAATAATAACTATTATGCTGTTAGTTATTTAAAACAAATGATCAACATAAATATAAATTTGTTACTGCACTATATAGACTACTATATTTTGTATATTTCTAAGATTACAGTTTTGCAACTCACAATATGACATCTATGTTAGCCAGCTCTATTGGTTCAGCTAAAAACTATAATTAAGCTAACTTACTATAAGCTCTAGAGTAAATACTTTTAAAATAGTTCAGTTTGTACAATCATTACAATTCATTCTAATAAAATTAGTACAAGTATAAAGAACCAGCTAACATAAGAAACAGCATTATAAAAAAAAACAAAAGATTAATATATGCATATCAAGTATAAAAATAAATAAATAAAAATAAGCAATTAAGAATTGTGATTATTTTAAAAAGTTCATACTGGTATTATTGTTTTATTTTATTTATTGATATTTCTTACTTTACAATTATAGTATTATATATTAAATACACTTTTTTCTAATCAACGATGTATCTAAAATCAAAATCTTTATATTTTTTATAATAAAGTTCTTAAACAAGTATTCATAAACTAATTAGAAAGAATCATGAAAGATATTTATTTATCACATCTAGGGATAAGCATAAGTTTCAAATTTTTGTTATAAGTTACATATACATTACAATATGTATCTTAGCGTAAGTTTGCAAAATCATGTAAGTTATTATGTAAGTTACAATGTATATGATCAATTTTAAGATTGATGATCATATATATAGGAAGTTAAATTTCAGTAATTTTATGTAATTTTATGTAATTTTACATAATTTTGTATAAATTGAAATTTCATGTATTTGTAATTTTAAATATATAATGTATAGTTTCTAAGATCAAATCTAATTACCTCAATATAAAAAATTTTTATTAAAGTGTATTGTAATTAATTATAACAATATGTCTGTATTTATATTACAATTCAGATCAATAATGCTGGCATAATTTTTATAAATTTAGTACTTTATGTATGATATGTAAAAATTAACATGAAATTTAATTTTCTGAAAATAAACACAACCCTAGTTGTATTAGTATCTGAAGTTAATACAATGATCTAATTTCAGGGGCTTAGTTCTAATTATATAAATATGATAAATATGGTAATCAATAATGATTATTTATCTTTTTTTTTGTTGTTCTGCAACTTTTAACTAGCTTTTTCATTTTTTTTAAATTTTATCACTGTTAGTTCTGAGGTCTCTTTAGATTTCTACAGTTACCAGTATACTTTAGTTGCAGTTAAGGTTACATAGAAATTCATCATTTCAATGTTGTGTAACTCTTTATTTTGGTGTTGTGTAAATTCATCATATTGGTATTGCGTAAAAATTTGTCTGAATTATCATTATAGATGTTTTATTAGCACTTATAATTTGCATAAACAACACTAACTTTTTGGAATATTGGTTATATTAATTAGAACTTAAAATAAAATCAGCAGATACAACTTGCAACTATACTGAAGTGACCTTTTTTGAATGTTAATCAAAAGTAGGAAAACAATATATAGATAATTTTTGTAATAATATCACGTTTATTTTTTTTTAAGAGAAAAAAATAATATACAACAACATCACATTACCTATTTTAGATATTGAACTGAAAGAAGAAAAAATAATAACTAAACCATTTTTTTTTGGATATTAGAAGAATTAGTTAATATACTTCAATAACATCACATTTAAATCATTGATTTTGGAAGAAATTGAGTTGGTAAGTATTTTTGCTTACTAAGTATGGGTTATTTAGCATACCACATGTTATAAGTTATGCTACCTTAGAGGATAAACTACAATGATTCTTAAACTATAAGATAAGAATGAACTACTTTGGTATTCATATTATAGACATGAGGATGAACTACAATGATGTTCTAAGTTGTAACAATGAAAAATTGTGTAAGGCAAATCTGCAGTTGTAATGATGATATATCTTTAATATCTCCTTTTTTTTTTTTTATAACGCTCTTTAAAAGAAAAAGAAATATATATATATGTCGTGTTTGAAGTTAGCATCTGCTTGAAATTAGCATCTGTTTGAAGTTAGAATCTGCTTGAAGTTAGAATATGCTTGAAGTTGGAACTACCTAAAATTACTAACTAACGCGAGCAGGGAAGATCTAATTTCAAGGGTTAATTTTTGTTAGTGAGCCTAAATTGTTAATTTTAAGCAGATATCAACTTCAAGCACAACATATATACTTTCTTTCGGTAAGAATTTTTTAGAGAAAATCAAGTATGCCTAATCCTCAACTAGGGATTTGCAACCCGGCATGTGCCCGTGCCTAAGAAAAAATTTTAAGGCACGGCATGGGCACAGGCATTTTTGTGCCTATAGGTACTTTGTGCTTAATTTCGTTTTTGGCTTAAAATTACTAGACACGTAGCCAGACCTAAAGTGCCAGGCACTATTATACAAGTGCCGAGCACTTTCTTAGGCATGGCACTAAAGTGCCTGGTACTTTCTTAGGCATGGCACTAAAGTTCCTGGTACTTTCTTAGGCATGGCACTAAAGTGCCTGGTACTTTCTTAGGTATGGCACTAAAGTGCCTGACTCTTTTTTAAGCTGTCACTTTTGTTCCTATGGCATAGGCATTAGTATCTGGCATGGTGCCTAATGTGACCAGCATGGGCACATGCAGAGCTCTAACCTCAACATATTGAAGAAATCTTATTCTGGATTAGGTAGCTAATGTCTTTTATAACCCGAATAGGTAGAACAGTCAGAAGAGCATTAATCGATGCAAACCGGAAAGACAATGAAAAAATTGAGTAAATCCAAATAAACTAATATCATCAATTAATACCATCAACTAATACCATCAACAATTATTTCTCATGTAATTTCAACATCAACTTTTCAACATTTATGTGAAATCATTATTGAAGAACATTCAGCCAAAAATTACAACAATAGTCGATTAAATAACAGAACCATATTCAGGATCAAATTGTATATAGTTTTACCGTTAACATATTTTGGAAAATATTGTAGTAAAGAAGGTTAAAGGTACGAATAAAATTCTTGGTAGTTATAATCCTATAAACCAATTAGTAAGTGGGAATATTATATAGTTATTGCATACGGGAACATGCAATAACGGTTTTAATGATTTACTATTTCAGTTTATGAAATAAGATCTATAATTTTATCATATAAAAAGTGGCATAAAATAATTGATTTATTTTTCTAAACTGATCATAGTAAAGCATTGAATAAAATAAAGAAATTGTTAAGTCACGTAAAAAATCCATAATATGCAGTTTTTAGTATTCTATAATTTTGATCTTCGCTTTTATTATTACGATTCTGATTTTTGTATATATAAAAAAGAAATTCGAATATATAAATAATAGTTTTTCAAGTTTTTTCCCGTAGCAGAATATGAAATTCTTAAAATTCAAATAAAAAAATAATCAAATAATAAAAATCAAAACAAGTTAATCATTATGTATTTGTATTGATCAATTATAATTATATTATATACTGTATATATTTTAAGATTTATCAATTCTGATTTCAATAAAAATTTTAGATAATTGTTCTGAAACTATATGTTAATAGTCAATTGTATTAATTAATATTTAAATTTAATTTATGTATCTGAATTTTTATAATAAATAATAAATGATATTAACTAAATAGTTGTTCCCAAATGAATATTGAAAACTAGAGTTATATTTATAAATTGATAAGACTCTAATTAAAAAGAAAAAAACCAACCCAAAATATACTAATCAGTTTTTTGTGCTTTGTCTTTGCCTTTGCCAAGATATCTTTTACGTTGTTTAATCATATAAGTGTACAATTTATAAAAACCTAAAAAAAAAAAAAAGATATATTAGAAAAATAGTTGTAAATAGTATTTTAATTTAAAATTAATTGATTATCAATATTTGAATACCTGGTACGTATACGGCTAATATTACAATTTGAAGCCAATAATAAGTTACGCTTAATTGTTTAGAATAATGAAGTGATTCGTAAACTAGTATTGATTCACTTCCTGCTCCAAGAGGATATAAAACAAAGAAAAATGTATATCTAATAAAAGATTAAAAAAAGGTTTATAATAAGTAAATAAACAATTAAATGTAAAATAGATAATATATATTAAATGAATTAAATGAGTAAATACCTGCACCATAAAAGGGTGTAAAGCTGAAATCCAACAAGATTAAATGCATAATAAGAGTATCTTACACATTCTGTGATTGACCATGCAATAGTCATGGTTGTGAATGCCCAATGAGATTGAACCTTAACATTAAGGTAACCAAAATGATATAAATTATTGAATAAAAAGTAACTTAAATAAATAAGGATAATCATAATAAATGTTATTTGATGGTGTAATAAACATTTACCTCAGGAAAAATATCAACTACTCCCCATACTAGAAATAAACGAGATGCAATTTGAAACGCTGTGGTAAAGAGTGGTGATTTCACAAAATCTTTTTTTGCAAATTAGAAAAATTTATTAGATATTGTATTTTTGTGTTTCAAATTATAAAATAAAATAATGAAGAATTTATTTTTTTTTGTTTCAAATTACAAAATAATAAAATAATAAAACAAAATAATAATAAAGCAATAAAATAATAAATTAATAAATTAATTAAATAATAAATTAATAAAATGAAAACTTACCAAATATAACATGAACTAACTAATTTTTTTTTTTATAAAAAATTGAAAAGTATGATATGTTAATTAGTTTACAAAATATTTTTGTTACAAAACTCCACATAACTATAATTAACCTCTAAAATGGCGCAAGTTTGTACAATCATCAAAATCCAACCAGTTCGATCATAAACTGTTGTAAGATCACCATTTTGCACTAACTCGGATAAAACTAATACAAGAACATAGAACCAGCCAGCACAAGAGACGGCATTATAAAAAACAAGATAGCCTGTTTTGATGTTATCTTGAAAGAATATAAAAAAAGTTGAGAATTATAAATATTTAAATAGTTCACGCTAGTGTAGTTAATTTTTTGTATTCCTTGTTAATATTTTTGATGATTCTTATTTTACATGTCAACCTATACACTTTTTTCGTGATAATACCAAACATATACCAATACAAAAAGCAAACTTTTGATTTTTTTTACCTGCTGAGATATTAGAAAACATTATGTAATATATTAGTTACGAAATGAAAGTTAATTAGATCATCATTCATGTGAATCAGGTTTTATGCCACCTTTTTGAATTTTTTGTACAACCATTGATTGATCAACAATGATAAATATGTATAGTACATGTCGATATAGTACAGAGTAGCCTTATTAACAATTATTAACAATGAAATTTTTTTTTCACTGTCCTACTTTAATGTTTAAGGAGATTGTCAAAGTGTCACACATTCATATTTTAGTCGATATTGCCATGCGAAAAGTGATTAATTATAGTGGACGAAGTTTTGAATATTTTAATACCCAACTTATTGTATCAATGATGAGTATCAAATTAGAAAGGTATGAATATACCTAAAAACAAATAAGAGATCTTTTTGCCGATTGGTATAGTAAAATATCTAACAACCTTATGGAGATTAATTCATCCTAACGATGAATTAAACTAGATTAAATAAAGAGAATATGATAAAAAGATTTTTGTTGATTACACGATGTCATTATTGAAGATTGAATAATGAAGCGTAAATTTTTATAAACAAAGAATTAGATATAGCGATAGTGATAGAATAGATAGAATATCTAAACATTTACATTATATTGATTACTAATAGTAATATAAGATATGACAGAATTTAGAAATAGATAGTCAAGTCTCTGATGTGACTTGTGAATATGTTAGTGAAGCGGTATATTTGGTAATGCACATAGAAAATCATTCTATTATTATTTCATTTTCAAAATAATTAACGTTAACAAACTGACAAAAATTTACAGGCATTAGTAGACATGTTGACCATGGTATGCAGTACAGCAGTAGTAGGTAGGGTTGTTAATGGAGTGGCATACTCCGGAGCCACTCCGGAGCCACTCCGGAGTGAGCCTAACCCAAGTTGGAGTGGGTTAAAGATATGCCTAAAAATCTGGAGTGAACTGGAGCAGCTCTAAGCAAACCTGGAGTGGCTCCGGAGTGAGCCCAACCCAAGCTGGAGTGGGTTGAAGAGTTGCTTAACTCAACCCAACCCAACCCATTAACAACCCTAGTAGTAGGTAGATAAGTGAAAATTGATCATTATAGGGATTTAAACCCTTATATATAGTATATAAACTTGATTGTGACTGTTGTCATTTTTAAAAAATCATACACACAGAATCATGATCTGCTTAGACCTGACTATTGTGGCACAAATTGAGAGGAGGAAAAGTAGAGTCAAAGTTTCGAGTTTTGTTAAATAGTTTTTAGTATTAATTCTATTTTGTATAGCAATTCTCTAGGCTAATTTTGGTCAAAAACAGATTTTCATTTACGTATTTTTAAGTGAATTTAAAATAAATCCATTCACAAGTATTTAGGTATTTATTTACAGTAGTTATTCATAGGTGAAGTAGTATGATATGATAGTATAAGCATTAATCGTTTAATAAACAAACCTTTTTAGTGATGATAAGTCTTTTTTTAGTGTTATGGTAAAGAAAACCATCATGATTCTAAATTATTCGAGAGACTTCTATAAAAAATATAATTACCATTATAATTCCTAATTTGTAACTACCTATAATACTATTTTATTACTTGATAAACTTTGCATTCATTACGTTCACTCGCATGTAGATACGTATGTGCATGCGTTCACACTTCTGCACTTATGTACACATTTATTACCGAGGTTCATTTTTGGGACCGCAGTTGTAGCTACGCCACCAATTGTGTAACATTGAAAAATCCGGAGATTTAATCCCGATAATACGTAAAATTTAACCACTAGTATGCCAAGTATGCCAAGGGTAGTGGATAAATATTAATAACCGTTATGCGTAACATGTAAGCAATCCTTAAGGAATTAATATAAGGGGTTGTTTGATTAGACAAATTGAGAAATTAGCAATAGATTGTGTGAACACATGACTGTCCTAAACTGTCCTAGACCGTCCTTACATGACTGTGTATGAGTCTAAATTTAGCGGATGACTGTCTATAAGTTCGATGTGTACGTACATACCTACGTACGTACGTACTTACGTACGCAAGTATGTACTTACGTATATTCGTGCTACAGAAAATGTAATTGCGTAATTTAAATTTGTATCAGAGGTTCATTAACAACTCTAAAAAAAAATCGGATTAGTGAACAGAAAAGGAAATTCATTTAACGTAAGTATTATTGTCACAGGATTTCTAAAAATTGAATCGCCATAATTCTTAAAGATGAACACTTTTTCTATTGCCAAAAGGTTTTTTTAAACGAAGGCGATAAACCTTAACGATATAATTAAATTTGGATGATTTGAATTAATTTTATAAATAAAATATTTATCTTATTAAATACTAAGTATTCTATCACCTTAATAGAATAAGTGAAAAAACTATAATTTATTAATATTTAATAGTAAATTTCAGAACGGGTAATTATCAATATAATTCAGAGAAACAAAGAATTCCCAATTCTGTTGGCACAAACATGTTTCTTACTAATATATGTTTCACAATACTATTTAAATATATTTATTAACATTATACAGTATACATGCATGTTTTTTAATTGTTTCGTATAAAACAAAATTTTACAGAAAAAATATAGAGAATAGTAAAAAGTTTTTCTTTGTATTATGCATTATTCAAAATTTTGGCTTTTTTTTTCCCTTAATTTCGTTAAATGTATGTAATTACTATACCATTTTTAGGTATTGATTAATGTATTACAAGCCATCATGATCTATTTATAGATAGATCATCACATGACTTGTTCCCGCGCCAAAACTTTCTTCGAATCAATATACAATAAAATGTATATAAATAAATAAATAAAATAATAATATATAATAATAATATATATTTTTAACATTAATATATTTTAAAACAATTAATGATAAAATATCTTAATAAGCACATTACTTTAATTCGTCCACCTATCCATTTGGTTTATAATTATATTCAATAATCATACACATGTGATTGGGGGAAAACCATTTTCACTTAACCGCAAGTTTGTTAATTATTATCGGTATTTAGAGTCCGGATTTCATAACGATTTTCTTGTGTACTTAGTTTGATCATTTATATCAGACATGTTTCCTAAAAGTCCAGTCAGCTTGCTGGTTTTTTTTATAGATAAACAACCGATCGTAGCCGAATTTTTTAAAATATTATAGCATAGAAATATTCACGCAGTATACTAACCTTAATGGTTTATCAAACATTTAGTAAACAATCCAAGTCATACAATATCATAATAATTATAAGAAAAATATATATATAAGGCTTTAAATTTCTCAAAAGATTTTTTTGAGACTTGTCGCTCATTTATCATCAGTTACATCAAGTTCGTGAAGTAGTTCGTGAAATAAAAATAACTACAGTTCAAAACTTGTGAAGTCAAACTCGTGAAGTAAGGACAAATCGATTTCATACTCGTGAAGTAAGGACAAATCGATTTCATACTCGTGAAATAAGAGTAACTCAACTTCAAAATCGTAATGCACAGTAAATCCATGAACACTACTAAATCGAAAAGAGGTCGTAAAGCGTATATAACTCCCGAAAAAACAGACACGACCGGAAAATGTCATTTTATGATAGTTAAAAGGGTTCCAAACGTCGTTAAACCCAAGAAAAAGAGTCATTGTAAGAACTGCGATATTAACGATGAATATATCAATACATTATCAGAACGTATAAATAAAATAGAACACTTAATCAAAGATTTCGAAAAAGGATTAAAAGATTTTGGACAAAGATTAACTAATGTAGACAATACTCATAATAATTTAAATTTTCTACAAATGGATACAAACTCTTTAATTGAAATGTCTAAAAGACCAGAACTCGTGTCATTTAACAATATAAATCCCCAACCACAATTTACTCCGTATTATCCAGCAAATGTATACATTAATCAAACTATCTCGCCTCAGTATTTTGGAACTATGCCTTTTGACAATCGACCTTATTCGTTTTATCAAAATTGACGTTTTTCAGCAAAAATTTATACATATATATATATATATGTATTTAATTATTGTTTTTTTTTTATTTGTAAATAAGCTGCGTAAGAGCTATATGTATATGATTTATGAATATTTGAATATGAATTATCCATTAGACTTAGTATCTAGTTCATTGCGACCATTTTGTACATTGTCTTTGTGGCATAGTATCGGTAAATTTCGTTCACCTTCGTTCCTACATTTTTATTTACTCTCGTTACATACTTAGGTATAAATTTTTATGTATAAATTTATGTATAAATTTACGTATAGACCTTTTTTTTTTAAATATAAAATGTTATATGTATATATATATTTCTTTATAAATTTCTTTATATATAGATATAAAAAAAAAAGAAAGTAAAATTATTATTTTTTTCAAAAAAATTATGCCCAAGAAAATTTTAAAAATTTTTATTTATGTTAGATAAGATGTCAAATTAAAGATCCAGCGATAAAATCAATGGCGGACTTGTTTTCAACTATTATGTATGCTAGTTAATGATCACGCTGGTTAATCATCACCCCGGTTTAATGATCCTACTGGTATTTAAATCCTTAACATTAATTATCAAAAAAAATCTGATAGTGATTATGTTCCAAAATGAATTTTACAAACATGTATATTCATTTAGATCACTAAAATGAATCATGTGATTCTAGATTTATTATTATAATCGCGATATCGATAATTTTAAGATCACTTTACATGTATTTGATTTGAATAAATTTTATTTTTGGATATTATTGAATGCGAAGCATCAAATAACTATATATTATTTAAAATAAACGCTATCACTATAGACTTGTTTAAGATTGATGTCAAATCTAGATTGTCCATCATTACAAACATTCTAGAATACAGTAAAATTAACTTTTCTAGAAATATATATATATATATATAACCTTAGACCGAACCCCAATGTTTGGGCGTACATGAGTTCTCATTATTGTGACATTAGTCTATTCTATTTATGTCACTGACTAAAAAAAAAATTTTTTTTATCAAATATACAAATATACTATACAACACCATTTATATTCATTGATTAGATTTATTAATACTAAATTATGTTTATATCGGAACTGCCGAAATAACCAATAAGTTTTGAAATTATGTAACAAATATCTAATTTCAGCATCCCCAGTAAATTTAACACATCAGATAATGCGCCATTTTTTTTCTTTATGCTTTCATAATTAAACTGGGCCAAATAAAAACCAAACCGATGTATTTCAAATATTCGACTTACTACTGTACTGCTGTACTGTATGGATGTATTAACACAAATTATTCAGTTCTAAATTTAGTGCATTTGACGATCATATCTGATTGTACTGTACAACCTGATTTTTCCCCGGTGTCTGCTGATTTTTTCCGTTTTTTTTTTTATTTTTTATTTTTTTATCGTTATTACTAAAACCGGATACTACAAAACTCTAAATAGAGAAGCGGACGATATTCACGGTTAACAAAAAAAATAACAAAAAACAAAAATAGATTACTAAGACTAATTAAATAATATATTTCCTTTCAGCACTGCGACATACACAATCATGCATTTAATTTCCGAAAAATATCTTAATGTTTTTGCGAAACTTAAGCATATAATTTCTTTTTCATGAATATGTTTTCTCCAAGATCTCAAACACACAATTAAAATTTCCGGAATAATTTAAATTCGTATTTCCATGACTTGCTGATCTTTACCATTCTGCATTCTGGGCCACAAATATCCATGCACAGTTGATTATAAATACGTAATGTGTTTTACATTTAATTAAATTATGGGTTTTAAAAGCATTACATTTTATTCCTGACGAAATGATTTTCCTCCCTATAATTATCTATAATTATGTTTGTAATTATGTTTATAATTATGTTTGATTTTGACGGAATATACGTTTCGAAATGTCGGAATATAAATAACATACTTATTACGTATTGACTTACTGATGCTTAGTAAGATTTCGGTTATTCCATGATGCACGTTATTATATTAGTACGTTGATTCGTGGAATTAAAATTCCGATCTATTTGCGTATTTCCGTATTTACGTAACAATGATGTTCACATTTATGCATAAAACGTGGTTTTAACCCGGTTTAGTCCGGTCTATTGGTATATTATGATTAAATTATGAATTCATAGTAAATTTTCTGACTAATAAATTTTTTTCTTACAGATACAATCTCCGTTAATCTAGTTTTAAAAAAAAGTCTTCATAATTATTTATTGGATTATTTTCTTTTTAAGTCATTCTTCTTTTTCCCATTATGGATGTCTAAACTCAAATTACAGAATTTATTGCTGACTAACTGTTATTATTAAGATTATATCTTTGTTGTTATGAGAATTGTGATTTATAATTATTATTGTTGTTGAACGTTAGTCTCAGTATTAGCTTCGATATTAGCTTCGATATTAGCTTCGATATTAGCTTCGATATTAGCTTCGTATTAAGTAATGTATATGTCACACCTAAAGTTGACATTCGCCCGAAGTTGCGTCTAGTGTTTGACTTATATAATAGGTCCTTTCTCACGCATTAACTGTTAATTTTTAGGCAGATAATAACCATAGGTACGCATAAATCTACTATATCAAAACAGGAAGTCATGTAAGATTCTTTACAGAAACTTGTTAAATTTAATTATTATATAAAAGTTATATTATTATCGTATGATTACAACATTATAAATCTTAAATATACAATAAATATAAAGCTATACTATAAAAGTATTATAAAGATATAATTAAAATAGGAAATGCTTATTTTCACAATGAAATTACTATTTTTCACCATGTCTTCAAACGTGACTTGGACCCGTCCTAAAAAATCTCATCTACAAATAAATAACCATAAAATTTGTCTGATAAGTCAAAGTCTTAAGATCAAAAATTTTATTTTATTTTTTTAACATAAGTATGTAGTTGAATTTAATCATTATAAAAATAATACTAGACTAGGAAAACAGGTTCCGTTCGGTTCAGGAAAAAAATTTATAAATGTGTTTTTTAACTTTATGTTCGGTTTTTACAGAGCTTATTAAGAGTGGATTTGAGTAAATCAATTGCTATTTTTAAAATTTATTAAATCAATTACTATTTTTAAAATTTATTAAATCAATTACTATTTTTAAATTTTAAATTTAAATTTAAGATCTGAATGAATTTCAAACCTAGAACTCACGGAACCGCTTCATTAAATGGATTGGATGCAAAATTTTAATTAATCGGAAGTCAATTTCGATGAATAGAATATGGAAGTGCTGGCTAATATTCAGGATTGGTTCTCACCCTAGAATGACGATTGAACCAATTCACAATTTAGAATCGACGATTGAACCAATTCACAACTTAGAATAGACAATTGAATCGATTCACAACTTAGAATCGACAATGAATCAATTCTCAACTTAGAATCGAAAATTGTATCGATTCTCAACTTAGAATCGAAAATTGTATCGATTCTCAACTTAGAATCGAAAATTGTATCGATTCTCAACTTAGAATC